AATCTATTAAGGGGTCATCAAATTTGTTGAATCCTAAAAGTTAGATTCCTCATTGATTTCCCAATTTTATGAAGTTTTTAAATAAGTTGTTTACGAATGCCTTCTGATGATAGAGAATATAGATTAATAATAGTGCATTTTCCTCTATAAGTTAGAAAACCATAGAGAATTATATATATATATAAACTCCTCCGCATAGTTCGGAGAGTTCAAGTCTCCAACTCTCCGTATTGTGCCACAACCCTCCGTACAGTGTGAAGAGTGAACCATTCGGACTGTGGGTAGTTCAAGTGAACTCTCCGCACGGTCCGGAGAGTGTGCGAAGCATTGCTTGCTCCACAAATTTTTATTTATTTATTACTATTTTTTTATCACTACAAATCCATCTCCAAAAATCCCTCTGTCTTCATTAGTTCAACTCTTCTCTTCCTATCTCTCTATATGTTATTTCAAATTCTCTTAATCGATCCAAGAATACAATATTGTTATGGCAAGGGCAACAAGAAGCTAGCGAAGAAGCTAATAGAGAAAAAGGGTCAAGAAATTTCTCTCCTCCGCATTGTCCTATATTCCAACCACGAAATGTAAAAGAACAAGATCGAAGAAAAATCAAATAAAATGGTGCTTTTATTGGGATTTTGACTTTCTTTGGGCGAATTCATTTCATAGCATTTCTGGAATGAATTTAAAGTTTTTGTTATTTATTTTAAATTTCTAGTACGACATTTCTTGACATTTTGCTTGATTATGTTTTTAATTTGGTTGCATACTATTGCCTTATATTCTTTGGCAAAAATCCTTTGGTAGGCGTTTTCCTATATATGTTTGAGCTTCAGATTTTTTGTAATTTGGGTTTTAGATTGAGCTTGGTTTTATTACATATCATGATCAAAATGTGCTTTCAAAAAGGTGAATGGAACTAGATAAATGTTTGATGAAATGATTAAGAGAGAGGACGAGGCTATTGATCATAATGTTTGGCTTTTAAACGTTTGACTTTTAATTTATCAAAATGCAAGAAATGATTTTTCATTTTTTTCCCTTCTTAAAAATAATTTTTTTTTTAAAAATTTCATAGCATTGTAAATGATAATTTGCATGTTAGTTTTAAGGATCCATACGGAGAGCTCTTTGAATTTGGTCGATTTTATCTTCTTAAACATACTAGCCTTTTGTGGTGCTTGTTTATAGATTTCATTCTGGATGCCTTTAGAGAGCAAATTATTTTGTTTAAGTAAAGTGTTTAAGCTGACTTGACATTGATTAGGACATACAGAGATAGTTGCTTTTAGAGTTTTAAAATTAGACTACAAAGACACAGGTATTGGATAGATTTAAATTTAAAGAGGTCTTGACTCCAAAGAAAGTGAATACATCAGCTATGTCGTGATTTTAATAAAATCTTTAATGTGATTGGATGGAATAATAATTAATTATGTGTATTCCAATAAGAAAATATCAAAATCTAATCAATCACCCTCATTAATCCAGTAATTTAAGTAGAAACATTCCAATTTCCAAATAATGATTATACACAGAATATGATAATAATTACTAATTTCTGCAGGATGTGTTCGACCTATTGCCAAATCTCGTGTCTGAGTTAATTAAATCTTTTGCAAGTAACGTGGCTAAATGTGTATTGATACTTTCTTTATTTTTCAGTTCACATCTACATTGTTAGATAAGATTCTGAAGACAATTCTTTAATGAATTTATTCTCTACTTCCGCTTGCAATGAAAACAAATGATATGATGTTGGTCATATATCTCTCGTCCCTTATCTGAAGGGTGATTGCTCTACATAACTTGATCAACAACAAGGTGAGATATTCTTAAATTGTGCCTCAAAGTTTTCTGTTTTACTGTCTGTTATTAATATAACTACTAGATCTATATAAATTTTTGAACCCTGATGTTCATAGTGGATGTTCAGCAATCTTTCTTGTGCTGGGCTATAACTAATCATGTTGACAATTAACATATCGATTTAATAGTTATTATTGGGTATATTAATGTCTGTTGAAATTAATGATTATGTTTATGAATCAATTGTAATGCATTATAATATGCTTCCAAGACTCTTGAATAATGCAATAAATCTTCAACATTTTTTCCTTTTTAACATCTACAATTTTTACACTAATAAAAACACAATAAATACAACATTTGTGTAACGCACGTGACAAGGACCAGTACTCTAACTAATCCGTTAAAACGGAAAGTTTCATTTTTCAAATTCGGAAACTTTAAAACATCCAGCACAGGCTTTTCTATATAAATCTATGCACTGCACGAGAATAGCAAATGGAACTCCATACAAGACAATCATGTTTGATGTTATGAGTTATGAGCTTGATCTATATTTGGAATTAGACTCATGCGAGCTTCTCTTGCTATACAGAAATTTCCCACGCAGTTTGCCACCTGTTGGAATGTCAAATCTTGGTGAAAATTCCTTATTGACAGGACTGCTGAGTCCTACATCTCAAAGAAATAAAAAAGCTGATTCAAGTAGAAAAAGAATTCGCCGGTGTAAAAGTGCTCGATTGGCTGAATTAGTTCCTGGTGAACTGGATGGCAAAAATGAGGCTACAACGCTTCCTCATTCTGAATCCTTTTTGGACAAGCCACATCCCAGTTTCAAAAGAGTAGCCATTTTCTTAACGTTCTACTTGGTTGTTGGTACTATTTGTTTTTCCTTTGTTATGAAGCAGATCAAAGGAGAGAAAATAAATGTAGTCCTTGATGCTGTTTACTTTTGCATTGTCACAATGACTACTGTTGGATATGGAGACCTTGTGCCCAACAGTGTAGCCACAAAACTGCTAGCCTGCGCTTTTGTGTTCTCAGGGATGGCTCTAGTTGGATTAATGCTTAGCAAAGGTGCAGACTACATAGTAGAGAGGCAGGAAATTCTTCTTATCAAGGCTCTGCATAAGCACCAGAAACTTGGTCGAGATGAAATGCTTAAGGAGATTGAAACTAACAAAGTACGGTACAAATGTGTTACGATGACGGTTCTTCTTATAATGCTCATTATAGTTGGGACAGTCTTCCTTTCAACAGTTGAGAAATTGAATTTTATCGATGCCTTTTATTGCGTCTGCTCTACCATCACAACCTTAGGATATGGAGATAAGAGCGTCTCGACCAAGGCAGGACGTGTTTTTGCTATATTTTGGATTTTGACGAGTACTCTCTGCTTGGCTCAGTTCTTTTGTTACATTGCCGAACTTAACACAGAAAGCAGGCAGAAGGATTTGGTCAAGTGGGTTCTTACCAGGACAATGACAAATGTGGATTTAGAGGCAGCTGATCTCCAAGGGGATGGGAAAGTATGGTCAGTGATTCATAACTCCCTTTTCTTTTCTCTTTCATTTACTTCATTACATTCTGGTTTTTATGTTTTCAGTTGAATAGTTTTACTTAAGAAATGCTTTTTTTATTTTGCTTCGGTAACAGGGCTGCTGAATTTGTCTTATATAAGCTAAAAATGATGGGAAAAGTTAATCAAGAAGATATTTCACTTATAATGGATGAGTTTGAAAACCTTGATGTTGATCAATCTGGAACTCTGTCAAGCTGTGACTTAACGCTCGTTCAATCAGCTCAAACATAGAGGTAAATCTGCTGATTTTGTACACTTCAATATATAAATTTCACCCGTGCTTTGTGGCTTCAATAAGTTTGTCAAAAAATGAATCTCCTTCGAAACTCAATGATTATTTATACTGGAATTTACTTAAAAATTTGAGACTACTCAAGTAGATGAACAAGAAGTTGACAAAACTGTTACGTTGATCTTGCATTTTTTCTTTTTGCCTTTTTGGAAGGATATTTATTTTATTTTATTTTTTTACAGAGGAGTCAGAACAATGGTTTTCCCTGAAGAATTATGAATGTTTGTGCTGGAAAAATAGTGCAATACACCTTCATTTCATCGGAGGCTTTGGAGCCATATCCCATTTCCATGTATAAACATACGTTCTATATATATATATATATATATATATAGAACCTTTGATTAAAAAGTGGAAAAAAAATTATGGATTTCATATGTATAATTGAAAATAACTTTAAGAAAAAATTGATTGTCAAAAAATCTCCCTCAAACTGTGACTAAAATCTTTGTTTTGACTGTAAAAGCAACATTCTATTTTTCCTATTTTCTACGAAAGTTCAAGCTATAGAATACAAGTATAGAGAGAATCCTACATTTTTAAAACGTTAAAATCATTTTAAACTTGTTAATAATAAAAATAGGAAAAGACATATTAAAAAGAGCTTAATGGCCAGATCAAGCTCATTTATACACTCAAAATAAAACAATCAAACTCATTGATGGAAGCATCTTTCGCTACTAAATTGCTGCACTGAAATTCCATCTATTTTAACCAATCTCAACAAACAAAAAATAAAAATTAACACCTTTTTGTAACACATTGAACTAAAATCAAATTTTGGAAATACAATTCCTAAAATGCAAGTACAATTCATCACGTGCAACTTCGAAGTAACTTATAAAACGATGAAGTTTCTTGTTTCACCACGTAACAATTCAGAAAAAGATCGAATTCATATCTTACTCAAGTATTTATTATGTGTTTCCATTCAGTACCATTCTGATCAAGTTTTCGCGATTAATGTTTTATTGACATTACTGAATGAGCACAAAATTGACCAATAGAGCAAGAGAGCTTTCCGTATCAATTGACTCTCTATATCAAATGAGCATTAGACAAAAGGAACGACAAGGTAGATAAAGACATAACATAAAATAAAATAACCATATAAAACGAATGAATATAGACTAGAACTTTATGGAATTTTTTTTTTTTTATCATTTCACTTAGCCCTTGTCTGATTTTTTTTTTTTTTTTTTTGATATTATAGTTGGTTAAACTTATTATTAACTATACATTTCATTGAATTAACTTTTAAATCATATTTTATGATATCAACCTACTTACAATTTTAAAAAGTTTTGTCAAATTGGAGCTTAATAGAGGAAGATGCTTCTTTTACACCATTATTTATATAATTTTTTACAGCTTGATGATGTATCAAAAAGAGAGCATAAAATTTTTTCTTTTTAATTTTTTGATTAATATTTTGATTCAATCAAGTATCGTCACATCAATTGTTGGTAAACAAATTTATAAGTTGTGGTGTACATATAACACAACTTAATAAATTAAGTCCTTGTTTGAACCTTATTTTTTGAGAACTAATTGTGTAAAAGGTGAACTTCTGGGGTAATGTATGATCCAAAATAGTGAGAATTATTCTTTTTGTACAATCGGGGTTGACAACCGCGGTTGACAATGTATTCACAGGAAGGGAGCTCACGATTTTTTTATTCAACGTGGGCCTCCTCCCATGTGTTTAATTGTCAATGGGGTTATCAACCTCGGTTGTACACATAGCTCAACTGAAATAGTGAATGTTTTGAGTTTACGTCTAAAATTATTCATTTACTGAATTTATAGGTGAAAATGATTTTGAAGAAAAATAAATTTTAAAAATTAAGGATAAAAAGGTTTTAAAAATAGTAAACAGTCCTCGCGAGTCAACGCTGACTGTAGTATTCTATAAAAGCACGTTCTAAAAAATATGTAATCTCAACCGTCGAATCATGGCGCCCTGGGGATCTGCACTTTAGCCGTCAACGCAGTTACCGTTTAGAATTACACCAGGTGTCTCGGCCAACCTCTTCCCCCGCATGACATGCCATTAAACTCGATTTGGAATCCGAATTTGAAGTCCGCGATATAAAAGCCCACCCGAGAAAGTGATATTCTGGTTCCATGTGTGAAACCGTTGACAGATATAGAGAGTGAGCTGTGATTGGAGCTCCCGTATCTGGAATTTGAAACCCTGGCAATACATATACGTAAGTTTCTCGTTTCACTTGAATTGTAAGTTCGAGGGTGAAAATTCGGATCTTTGGAGGTTAGCGTTCTGTGAATTATCGGAATTTTATTTATTTATTTTTTGTTTCTACTAATTTTGCTGCTGCTTATGGAATTTTTTAAATATCTTTGAAGTTATATTGAGCTAATGACTGCGGTGAGATACTGTTGGATTTTTTGGGGGCATGTCCTAGAATTCAATCGATAACATATACAGACATACATGCCATTCACACAGACATGTTCTTACCCAAACACAAACACATTGTAGCATAGGTATAATTGTTCAAGTTCTAATTTTTTAAAATCTATTCTAGATAACTGCTTTTTATCCCCTTTTATTCATATATTATTTGGACTTCCAGTCTGTATTTGGATGCTTTTTGGTTTCTTAATGCTTCTAATACCCTAGTTGCCTTGGAATTATTGGTTTATAGTTTTGGTTTGCCAAATTATTATTATTATTTTTTTCTAATTATAGACAGTTTATTTTCTCCATGCAGTTTAGTTTTGTTATAAGGGAAAGGTTTTGGAACGGGGTTTATGGCTGAAGGAGAGGTATCAGAGAAGCTTGGGGCATCGGACGTGAAATGTGAGGGGGTGGAAAAGATTGAGGATGTGATGGAGAAGAAGGAGGCACAAAATGGAGTGACAGAAATAGTTGAAGATAAAAAGAATGATGGGAAAGTTAAGGCCCAAAAAATGGATGCAGACAAAGAAGAGATCAAAGAAAGCAACGGAACTGAAGAAAAAGAAGTGGAGGAGGAAAATTTAGCTGGTGGAAGCAAAAATGGAGGAGGAAATGAAGACGTGGGAGAGGAAGAGCTTAAAACTACAGGAGTTACGGGAATGGAAGCAACCAAGAATGAGGCAATGGAAGATGGCTCTAAGGAGATCCCTGAGGAGGAGACAGAGGGTAAGGTTGAAGAGGGAGTTGATGGAGCAAAAGAGGAAGAAAAACTGGGACATAATAAAGAGAAAAAAGGCTTGAAGAAGCGTCCTAGAACAAAAAGTAGTGCTGCAAGAAAAGAGAAGAGTTTGATGAGTGAAGCTGAAGAGAAGAAAGAAAATAATCTGAACACCCCAACAGAGGAAAAACCAAAAGAGCCTCAAACCCCTAATGAGAGAAAAGAACCGACAAGCCCTACAGCTCCTGCAATTCAACGTCCTGTACGTGAAAGGAAATCTGTAGAAAGGTTGGTTGCCACTATCGAGAAAGATACTGATAAGGAATTTCGAATTGAAAAGGTGTATCTTCTGACTTTTTACTTTTTCTTGTTCCCATGCCTTCGAAAGATTAAATATACTGCTGCAATGCTTTCATGAAGTTCATTGACTTTTTCTCTGAAGATTACTTTATGACGTACCGGTGTTCATATGCAGGGTCGTGGAACTGCACTGAAAGATATTGCTAATGGTACAGTTTTTAAGTATTTTTTATGCCACCACTTCATTTGTGCATATGCATCAACTTAAGGCTTCATGTTACGATTGTCAAGAGTTGCATTCTTACGATTTTGTTATGTCATCATTACTTTCTTAATTACACTTCTTAGTAAACCTGTATGATGAGCGAAGTAAGTTTTAGGCCATCATCCAAGATTGTTTATGGGGAAAATAGAAGTTGACGGACTGAAAAGATTTATTTCGATGCTTCATACACAATTATGGCATCTTGTATTTTTTTAATTGAATTCTGGTAATTCACCACATAGTGGACTTGAATGTGACGATAATATGACCAAATCACCAACCATAGTAGAAGAAAGTTCACAAGCCCCCTCAAGCAATGCTGAATACCTACTGCATAGCACATTAATCAACCTATCTTATGTTTCTCCATCCTGTGTGTTGTGTCAGAATTCATGGTTTTTCAGAGTAGCTTTTCTTTATCAAGTAAAACACCAATACTTGGGATGAATCATTTACCATCCAATTTCCTATGGATGTCTATCTCATCAAATCAATGAGCTACTATATGGATAGACCAATTCAATAACTAGTCATGATAGTCTATAAATCTTCTTCTAGAAAAATTTGGGAACTCTTCCCTCAGTATCTATTGCATTTGTTCTAGTCATTTCCTCTTAATGGACTGCCTCATATTTGATTGATGGGGCTCTGGATAGATTGTCCAAGCTTGCCAGAAAATGGGCAGGTCTGATGAGTGTTGGTTATTTGTTGCTTGTTTTTTGTCAGCAGTTAGCTAAGTTGAGTTTACGCTAAACAGAGGAAGGACATGATGTGATAATGGATTTGAATGCCACTGCTTGGAGGACAAGGTTTATTTAATCCTCCTCTTTGGGATTTGAAGGAACTGGGGGTGGGGGTGGGGGGGTTCAATGTATCAAGTTAAAAAAAACAAAGCTGCCATAGCATGACGTGAATATGTGATGGGGCGCAATACTCTAAGAACTTGGGCAACAAGTGCTATTCCTCATTTTTGTGTGATGGGTTGGGCCTTGTATACTAGGGGAAACAAGTCATCTTTTTGCTTAAATTGAGTCCTTTAGTGCCAAAACATCAGGTTTCACTACTTCGAGCTTTCCCTCAGTAAAATGATATTATGGGGCTTTCTGGTTACTTGCTATCAATCTAATGAGAGCCACCTTTGTAACAACAAAAGTTATGACGGGGGTATTCTTTGATAAATTTGCTTGCTTAAAATTATGCCCTTATTAGGATATGACTCTCCTGAACATAATGAGAATACCCTCCTCCGACCCAAGCCTCTTCTATAATTAAAGCTAAAGGTGGTAGTTGAGTTGTTTCTTCCTGCTAATCCTGTGCTTATTTTTTTATTTTTTTTTTCTTTTGCAATTTTGAGTATTATGTTTCTTCTGTTTCATTTTACTAAATGCATGTTTTCCTCCATGTCATATGTATGTCTCATTTTCCTTTTTAATTTTTTTTTAATTTTCCTTTTTAATTTTTTTAAATTTTTTTTTAGCACATTGTACTTGCTAAAATTTCATTTGAACTGCTTGAAATGCAGTTCAACAAAATTCTGAGAAAATTTTCATTTATTCTACTTTTAGTCAACATTTTTGTTGTTTTCTGAACCACATTTTTGTTTCAGTGGCATGCAAGTTGTCAAGAAGGAAGAGTGAAGACACTTTCAAATTGCTGCATACAATTCTTTTTGGAAGGAGAGGGAAAGTAATACTTTAAGTCCATAGTTAATATTATGGTGTTTCTCCATGGCTCATTTGGGTCTAGCATCATTTTGCTTTGTTAAAAGTAATGTTCCTGTCATTTTGATACTTGAATCACCTTTAAAATGGCTGGAAATTTCATTTCCTTAAGTTTTAGAAAATATCTCATATGTGTCATGCATCTGAAACCTTTTATAAGTTGAAGTCGTTAAGCATATTTCTTTCTTCTTATGCTAGAATGCGTTTTGAATGCTATGGTACTGTTGTTGAAGTAAACAAGTCACAGTTAGTTTCACTTGCAAACATTTGCAGCCCGAGTACTTAATTTTTGAACCATCATCATCATCATCATTAATTTTGTATAATGTTGATATCCAAGTTGAGTTATATAACTCTAAGTTTACTTAAACAAATTGGTAGTGTAGTTTTGGAGAGAAAATATTCCTATATTTCTTTTTGATAATACACATATTACAAAAATATATAGAAGAGATTAATTCCTTAATCTTCTCTAGAATAAAAACAAACTAACAATCTAGTGCATAAAGAATGGAACCTGATCTTATCCTAACAGATAGATGTGAATAATTTCTAACTTTATCCTAACTTATTATTTTCTAATATTAAACAGTCACTTTCAAGTTGGTGCATATATATCTATCATGCCCCAACTTGTCAATTAGACGCTCAAAGTTAGGTTTAAACAATCCTTTTGTAAGGATATCTGCTGTTTGTTGAGCAATTGGAACAAATGGCATGCAGATTTCCTTAGCTTCAATCTTTTCTTTAATAAAATGCGTATCAGTTTCCACGTGTTTGGTCTGATCGTGTTGCACTGGATTGTTGGCGATGCTGATTGCAACCTTGTTGTCACAGTACAATTTTAGAGGCATATCTACTGGTTGCTTGAGTTCTGCTAGTACTCGATTTAGCCATAACACTTCACACGCTCCTTGTGCCATCGCACGAGATACTCAGCTTCTGCACTACGCTGAGCTAGTACGTGCTGTTTTTTACTTCTCATGTTATGAGATTACCTTATACATATGTACAATAACAGGAAATAAATCGTCTATCAGTTACTAAACCTGCCCAATCTATGTCAGTATAAGCTTCCATGTTCCGATGCTCATTCTTCCAAAAAATAAGCCCTTTCGTGGTGTGCTTTTCAAGTATCTTAATATTTGGTATGCAGCCTTAAGGTGTCATTCATAAGGGGAATGCATAAACTGACTTACCACACTCACGGCAAATGCAATGTCGGGTTGAGTGTGTAATAAGTAAATTAGTCTTCCCACAAACCTTTGGTACTGAGACGTATCCACGGGTTTTCTTCTTTGCTATTTCCCAATTTCTAATTAGGATCCGTTGGAGTATCGATTGGTCGGCATCCACTCATTCTTGTCTCTTTAAGGAGATCAACAATGTATTTTCTTTGTTAGACAACAATACCCTTTCTTGAGCAAGCAATTTCTATCCCGAGAAAGTATTGCAGACAACCTAAGTCCTTGATCTCAAGTTTTGTTGAGAGATTATTTTTTAACTGGTCCATCTCAACCACATCATTTCGTGTCAATAAGATATCATCTGCATACACAATTAAGACAACTATTTTTCCTTCTTGGGAATGTTCAGTGAACATTGTGAGATCGGATTGTCTTCAAATATAGCTTTGCCACTTTACAGATTCAGTGAACTTGTTGAACCGATCTCTCGGTGACTGTTTTAGTCCATAGAGAGACTTTTTCAATGGGCATATCTTGGATCCAAACTTCTCATCAAATCCGGGGGGCGAGTCCATGTTGACTTCTTCCTCCAAGTCACATTAAGGAATGAGTTTTTTTACATCTAATTGTTGAAGTTGCCAATCACAGTTTACTGCAATCGATAAGATCGCTCGAATCATATTTAGCTTGGCCACTAGTGCAAAGGTTTCAAGTTAGTCAATGCCGTAGATCTGAGTATAACCTTTCCCTACAATTCTCGCTTTGTATATCTCAAGGGATCCGTTTGACCTATGCTTAGTTGTGAACACCCATTTGCATCCAACCTTTGTTTTTTTCCCTATCGGCAAATCTACCAATTCCCATGTTTGATTTTTCCAAGAGCTCTCATCTCCTCGAGTATCTTCCTTCCACTAGGGAACCTGTAAAGCATCCCACACATTCCTAGGAATCTCCACACTAGATAGTTGTGAGGTAAAGGTTAGTGAGGCATAGGATGTTTTGTGCAAGACCTAACACCCTTTTGAATAGCAATAAGAACATCTAGATCAAGACCTTTTATAGATTATAGAACAAAATTATCAGATTTGGGACATGATTGCACAATAGAAGCAAATTCGGCTGAGATAATACCTGGTGGATCAGCAGAGGATTGTACATTCCTCGGGTCAGATTCTGGGCAGTGTTCAAGTGCTTTGGACTTGTCTTTCCAATTTAGTTCCCTCCTTGAGTAGACTAGCAATTCTTTGCCATTTTTTAGTTCCTGCATCTTGTCCATTGGTGTTACCATTGTGATCATGAGATGATTTATTAGATAGTCCAGAATTTTGAGTGGATAAGGAACCCAGTTCTTCACCAACAATTATTTCATAACTCTTGGTTAATAAACAGTTTGGTGATTCAAGTTGAAAAATGTCTGAATCTTCTTTTGCACTCTCCCCCTAAAGATGAGTTCCAAAAAATGGTCTTGATTCAAAGAAGGTAACATGAATGGAAATAAACATTTTTTTGGTAATTGGATCATAACATTTATATCCTTTCTGGGTGGCTGCATACTCTACAAGCACACACTTTCAAGCTCAGGGATCAAGTTTTCCACTGTTATGATTGTGAATATAAACGAAAACAACACATCCAAATATTTTTAAGGGTAGATTGCCAGGTTATCGTGCTGTGGGGTAAAATTTTTGAAAAACTGCGAGAGGCGTTTGAAGTTTGAAAATTCTAGAGGGTTGTTCTATTGATAAGGTACATAGCCCTTAAAATAGCCTCACTCAAAGATGTTTAGGAATTTTACTTGTGAAACATAAAGCCCTAGCAACTTCTAAGATATGTCTACTTTTATGTTCGACCACACCATTTTGTTGAGGGGCATCATTGCAAGAACTTTGGTGTATGATACCTTTTTGATAAGAAAAAATTACCCAAAATTGCATTGAAGAATCCATATCATTATCACTTCTAAAAATTTGAATTTTTTCTTGAAATTGTGTGCACACCATGGTATAAATTTTTTTAAAAACTTCTTCAACTTCAGATTTTTCTTGAAGGAGACCCAAGTTATTCTCGTGTGATAATCTATAAATGTAACAAACCATTTTTTCCGGAAATAGTGGAAAGTCGTGAGGGTCCCCACACACGACTATGTATTAATGTAAAAGGTTTTGATGCTTTATAAGGTTGCGAAGGAAAAAATGCATGATGATGTTTTGCTAATTTACAGAATTCACATTGAAAAAAAGAGGGACTTTTATTTCTGAATAGCAATGGAAACATGTGCTTCAAATTGAAAATTCGCGTGGCTTAATCTATAGTGCCACATCATTATTTCATGATCACTAGGAACAAAAATAGAATCGAAACAAGACTTTAAACAAGTACCCTCTATTTGTGATGTAGGATGAATAAGAAAGAAAGAAGAAGGAACGGGGAGGAGAAACAGAGAGAAGGGAGAAGAGGAGAAGAAACCAGGGGACGAGAGGGGAGGGAGAAAACGGCTGCAAGCCACCAAAAATATTTCATTCATCATCAACTGTCTCAAATGAGAAACAAAACAGAAATAAATAGCAGAACATAAACCCTAAAGAGAAGGGCTTGGGCCAAATCTACTAAACAAGCCCACTAACGAAAACATAAACAATAGTCCAAATAAAATATAACTAATAGTCCAAATAGAAAATAAATAATAAATGGATGTCCGCATCAACTCTCCCGGGGCGGGAGAAAAACTCGACCCCGTCGAGTAGATAAAGCAGAATGTTGCACTGAATCTGATGCGAAAGGCTCCAAGTCATGCCACGGGGGACGATCTTTCTCGATGACCAAATACCGAAACTCCACAAATGATAACAAGGATAGTTGTAGCTCATCCTCAAGGATATGATCCAACCAAGGAGGACGATCTTTCTTTGTAATCACATACCGATACTGAACTCCCAATAGTAAAAATTCATGCCACTCATCTCCAAAATCTTCCTCATT